CTTGGGGGGGGGCTTAAAGGGAGTGTGGCGAAGTCAGGTAGGAGACCTGCGCCTACTCCCTGGACTTACCGTGGAGAGCGAGAGTACGGGCAGACACCGTGTTACGCAGTAGAGTGCATGGTGTCTCCTGTACGCAGGCATAGCCCGGTTCGGTACATTCCAGCTCCACGTATCGGCCGGGTTAGAGTGAGCATTGAGCCAGATGTCATGAAGCCGGCCCAACGCATCCGGCTACCAGTGCGTCTTCTCGGGCCGGCGTACATGGCACCAGCCTTACGCATGGTGTTCCCGGTTCGCCCACATAGGCCGGTGCGGGTTATTCCACCTCCCCGTACTGGTCGGGCGACGGGGAGCATCAACCCGGGTAAGGTTGGGCAGGCTCAGTGCTCAAGGGGGCCAGTAAGCCTGCACGGTCCGGTATTTCCGGCGCCACCTCCCCGCTCCAGCTCAGTACCACCAGTGCCTACACCACGCACCAAGCCTCCTGTGTGTTCCCCGAGTCCTGTGCGTCCTGTTGCTGCTCTCCGCACTAGGCCTTATGTGCGTCCCCAGGGTCCAGCATGCCCTGTTCCTGCTCTCCGCACTAGGCCTTATGTGCGTCCCCAGGGTCCAGCATGCCCTGTTCCTTCTCCCCGCACTAGGCTTTATGTGCGTTCCCAGGGTCCAGCATACCCTGTTGCTTCTCCCCGCACTAGCCCTGAGATGCGTGTCCTCAGCCCGGTACCTCCAGTTCCGGCACCACGCACCAGGCCTACGGTGCGCCTCAGACGGCCAGAGTCTGCCGTCTGCCCAACGGGGCCTGAACTGCCCGTCTGCCCAAAGGCGCTTAAGCCGCCCGTCTGCCATGAGCCTTCAGAGCCGTCCGCCAGACCGGAGCCGCTAGAGCCTTCCGCCAGCCATGAGCAGCCAGATCCGTCAGCCAGCCATGAGCAGCCAGATCCGTCAGCCAGCCATGAGCAGCCAGATCCGTCAGCCAGCCATGAGCAGCCAGATCCTTCAGCCAGCCATGAGCAGCCAGATCCGTCGGCCAGCCATGAGCAGCCAGATCCGTCGGCCAGCCATGAGCAGCCAGATCCGTCAGCCAGCCATGAGCAGCCAGATCCGTCAGCCAGCCATGAGCAGCCAGATCCGTCAGCCAGCCATGAGCCGTCCAGCCAGGATCCGCCAGAGCCGTCCAGCCAGGACCCGCCAGAGCCAGCCAGCCAGGATCCGCCATTGAGTCCGGTGCTGTCCCTTAGTCCGGTACTGCCCCTTAGTCCGGTGCTGCCCCTTAGTCCGGTGCTGCCCTTTAGTCCGGTGCCGCCCCTTAATCCAGTGGGGTTTAGTTGGGGGGTGGTCATGTGGAGGAGGCTACGGAAGCGGATAGTGACTAAGGTGGGGTGGGGACCACGACCAGGGCCAGAACCGCCACCGTGGACAGACGCCCACCCAGACCCTCCCCTAGACTGTATGCTGGTGCGCCCGGAGTGCGCACCTTTAGGGGGGGGTACTGTGACACTCTGGCTCTGGGACTTTTGTATTTGAGCCAGGGTGTATTTTGTTTTGTTGGGTTTTGGTTTTGTATTTCTATGTTTGCAGTTCTGTGGGGTTCTTTTCTAGGTTTGGTCTATGACTCCCAATCGGAGGTAACGAGTGTCAGCTGTCGGCTCGTTATCTCTGATTGGGAGCCATATTTAATCTGTATGTTTTCCGGTGGGAATTGTGGGTTTTTGTTCTAAGTTCTGTCAGTGTTGCAGAGGACTTCACGTATCGGTCTTGTTTTGTTGTTTTGTTCCAGACTTTTAATTAATAAAGTCATGTTTCTTGGACACGCTGCGCCTTGGTCATACTTGGACGACATAGACCCTCGTGACACGAAGTGTCTACTGTTAATAAAAATCTCCACTGACGTGAGTCATTCACTGGTGAGATGAGGGCAGTGGAAGTTAGGCCCCTAAATGGCATATAATCCAAGTAGGCGGCCAGTACGATGCAGAGAAATTGAGCTATTTACAGGTCATATTTACAAAGAATACATATAAGTAGAAGCAGATCAGCGCATGGTTTACATAACATCAGGACAAACAAACTGCAACGCGTTTCGACTACAATAGTCTTCTTCAGGCATTCACTAACATGCATGTAACTGTCACCAATCCAAAGGTGTCTCTAACAATAATGTTTTATCTAAAAATGCTATTCATAATGAATCTTGGTTGTAAAAAACCCAATGGATAGTGTGTTAATAAGCATTTAGACATAATCTGGCTATCCAAATGGAGAGGAGAGGAAAGAGGGAGGCGGGAGGCAGGGGGCCAATTACTATTAGACAAACGGCACAGACAGTGAGGAGGGGGGGGGGGTGGGGGGGGGGGGGGGGGGGGGGGGGGGGGTTGGGGGTGTAGATGAGTTGAGGGGTGGGCATCAATATGCCTAAGATGGTCACTTCATTAGGAACCTAATGAAAGATGGAGGGAGAGGGAGGGAGGGAGAGAGAAACTGCCAAGTGATAGATTTATGACAATAAGCACAAATAAGTGTTGAGTCATTAAAACAAACCCCAAAAAATTTTTCCCGGGGAAACAAAAGGGGGAAAGCCCTTTCGGGGGGGGGTGAATTGAATTTTTCTCTAGGGAGATAAAAACAGGCTATGGAAAACCAAGAAGCGCCCTAACCAAAACAGCAAACCCAATAAGAAAATAGGGACACGAGGGAGACGGGAGGAGAGAGAGAAGAAAAGAGAGAGAGAGAGAAGAGAGAGAAGAGGAAGAGAGGGAGTGAAAGAAAGAGAAGAAAGAAGAGAGGAGAGATGAAAAGGGGAGGGGGAGAGAGAGGGGGGAAGAGATGGGCAAAACGAGAGAGAGAGAGAGAGAGAGAAGAGAGAAGGAGGGGGAAAAAGAGAGAGAGGAGAGGGAGCGAGCGAGAGAGAAATAACAGTGTGGTCCCTAGTTTTGCCCCTCTCCAGAGAAGAGGCTTGGGGCTAAACGCTCTCTAACAGGGGGTTTACCACAAACAACAATACCAATACCTAACAAAAAAACGGGGCTTTGTTTTGTCTCTATTTCACACCAATGTACTGGATGTACAGTAGCACGGTTAGAGACTCACACTGGCTTACATGAACTCTGGAGGCTCTGAGGAAGGCATC